TTTTGACCATTAGATCGTTAGTTTATAAAGTTGATCAATGAACATAAATTGGTCTCACGGGTCTCACGAAAAAACCCTTGGTCTCACGTGAACCCAACCATATATATATATATATATATATATGGGCCTAATCAAATGAGAACTGATTAGTTTGTGGTAACTGCGAGGTCCAATCTCAACCACAAATCAACGGATAAATTAAGAAATTAATAATTATGGTGGTCTGAGTTAAAATTATAATTAGAGGGCATATTAGATATTTTTTAAAAAAACTCATTTCTCCTCTCTCCTCTTTCCTCTCTCATCTCTCCGGCCTCCGGTGAAATCGGTATCACAGTATATCACAATGGGTATCACATTGTGTATCTTTGTTTTTAAAGTTTGAGTTGGTATCACAATTGTATCACAATATATCACAATGGGTATCACATTGWGTATCTTTGTGATTACTTGGTACCTGCCGTATTAATGTTCACCGGAGGCCGGAGATTGGAGGTCGGAGAGATGAGAGAGGAGAGAGAAGAGATGATCTTTTTAAAAATACCTAAAAAGCCTTATAATTATAATTTTAACTCAAACTATTATAATTATTAATTTTCTAATTTATCCGTTGATTTGTGGTTGAGATTGGATCTCACAGTTACCACAAACTAATCAGTTCTTCCTTGAATAGACCCATATATATATATATATATGTGTGTGTGTGTGTGTGTGTGTGTGTGTGTGTAGATATATATAATATAGGAGCGTTCAAATAAAAACCACTCAATTTGTACAAACCGTGACAACCACATTCAACTAATCATAATTTTTCATTTTGTTCATTTTTTTGTAATAATGAGAGATTGATTAACCATTTTTATTATGGATGGTGTTAATCATGGATATTAACATCTTCATTATTTTAATTTTAGAGAAATACATGAAACAGTTTCATTAAAATTTCATTAAATATTATATGAACAATTTCATAACCATATATGAAACAAATTAATCAAAAAAAGTATCATATGAAACAATTTCACAAAATTAAACAATTTCATGAAAAAAATTCATAAGATTAAACAATGAAATCGACGTATGAGGGTGGTTTGTACGGTTTGTACAAATGAGGGTGGTTTTCATTTGATCGCTCCTCATATATAGTATATATATATATATATATATATATATATATATTCATATTCAATGTTAGCCGGCCGGTTTTATTAATTTGATATTTCACAGAATGAATCAACGATGCCACTTTGTTAAGATAAATTAAAAAAAAATTCTAGTTTAAAGCAACCCATGAACGATTCATCATCTCAATAATCTTCCCTGCATAGGAAGGTTGACACATACTCATGTAATCGACAAAAACAACTATTGGTTGATCATGGCTACTAATTACTTCCTTCTTTTCATGATCCCTTATGCAGCTTCACTAAGTTTCAATTTGCCAAATATCGGTCCAACAAATCAAAATCGGGAAATAATAGCTAAAGGTGATGGAGCTTATATCTCCAGCAGTGGAATCCAGGTGACCCCAGATGAAATTGGAGATCGGAGACAGAAAGGAGGACAAGCGAGATACTTTGAACAACTTCATCTTTGGAACAATGCAACTGGGGAGCTAGCAAGCTTTGCTACCAATTTCTCCTTTGTCATTGATTCAAGGTCGAATGGAGATTACGGTGATGGCCTCACATTCTTCCTTGCGGAGGATAATTCTATGATCACAAGCGGTGGAGCCATGGGGCTTCCGATCGATCCAAACACCTTTCTTGCAACGAATCGATTTGTTGCAGTGGAGTTTGATACTTATGAGAATGATTGGGATCCAAGAAATTCTAAYRATATTTACATAGGCGATCATGTAGGTATCACCATAAGCAATCTCACTGGTCGCTCTCTCACTTCTGTTAGATCTCAAAAATGGTTGAGTAATATAACGGGTGGGGCAGATTGTCAAGCTTGGATCACATATGATTCTATTTCTAAAAACCTTAGTGTTTCCTTCACGGGTTTTCCAAGTAATAGAATTGTACGTCAGGATGGACTTTATTACACCATTGATCTAAGAGATGTGTTAACGGAAAAGGTCATTTTTGGGTTTTCAGCAGCAACTGGAGCTTCATTCCAAAAAAATAACGTTAAATCTTGGAGTTTCAGTAGTACGGATGTACAAACTGTTGAAATCAGCAGCCTACCACCGAAAACTGACCCAAATYCACTACCACCGAACCCCGGCCCAGATCCAGTGGRTAACAAAAAGAGCAATGTKGTATTAATAGTTGGATTATCTGTTGYAATCACTTTTCTRGTCGTGCCTGCCTTTGTTTTGTGGAGGAAGAAGCAAAAAAATAGGGAAGATGAAGCGAAAGAACTTGAATTTAATGCCGAGATGAACACTGAATTYGAAATGGGTAYCGGGCCTACAAGATTCTCTTACCACGAATTAGCTCAATCTACTGGTAACTTTACAGAGGACGAGAAACTTGGGGAGGGAGGTTTCGGTGGGGTTTACCGAGGTTTCTTAAAAGATTCGAGAACATATGTAGCAGTGAAACGGGTGTCCAAGACTTCCAAACAAGGAATCAAGGAGTATGCATCAGAAGTCAGGATCATTAGCAGATTRAGGCATAGAAATYTGGTTCAACTCATTGGTTGGTGCCACGAGAAAAGAGAACTAMTGCTTGTTTACGAGTTAATGGAAAATGGAAGCTTAGATTCACATCTYTTCAARGCAAAGAGCTTGTTGACATGGGGCACAAGGTACAAAATTGCYCATGGCCTTGCTTCTGCTTTGCTATACCTACATGAAGAATGGGAGCAATGTGTCTTGCATAGAGATATCAAATCTAGTAATGTGATGTTGGACTCTAATTTCAATCCAAAGCTTGGTGATTTTGGGTTAGCAAAGTTGGTTGATCATGAGAAAGGCTCACARACAACAATGTTGGCTGGAACCTTGGGTTACATGGCTCCTGAATGTGTAGTGACCGGAAAGGCAAGCAAGGAATCAGATGTGTTTAGCTTCGGAGTWGTTRCATTGGAAATAGCTTGTGGGAAAAAACCCATCGAGTACAAGGCTCCAGAAAGGCAAATAAGATTAGTAGAATGGGTTTGGGAGCTTTATGGGGYTGGGACTCTTTTAGAAGCAGCAGACCCGCGACTTGGGTCAGATTTTAAGGAAGAAGAAATCAAGCGTATGATGATTGTTGGGTTATGGTGTGCACACCCTGACTCAGATATCCGCCCATCTATAAGACAAGCTATTCAAGTCCTGAACTCCGAAGCTTCTTTGCCCATACTCCCCTCAAAGATGCCGGTGGCGTCTTACTTGTCTCTTCCCATTTCTTCATCACACGGTGTCGCTTCCATCATCCAAAATCAGTCGTCAAGTAGCATTGACAACACAGATTCCTCAAAGCAAAATGCAACTTCATCAACTGCTTCTCCATCTGTGTCACTGTTGCATTCTATGCAATAACATGTATTGAGTTTTCGTTAATACCTTCCCCGATCAGAAAATAGAGTTTTTCTTCTGAATTATACTATTTAAAGAATCATGAATCCAAAGTATATAAAAAAAAGGTAATATGTTAACTTCATAATATGCATTTTCAAAATCATTATCATAATTTCGACCATTAATTAAAATCATATAACATTTGTTTTAATTTTTATACAAAAAAATTCTAATTTATATTTTTCAAGCATAAGTTTTGAATTTTGACACCAACGGGTTTCAAACAAGAGAGAATAGTATAGAAACAAAGATGGTTAATGGATATTATTGACAACACAACCTACAAATGTTTAACCCAACAAATAATTACCGATTATCGATAGATTTTTGAGGAAAGGAAATATATATGTCGATAATTTGCCAATACTTACTGGTTATCTTCAAATCCCACTTCTGTCACCTGCGCACCCAGCTAAAAGACAAAAAACTATCAAATTTGACCCAGGTCCACAATTGTAACGGTCAAATCTGTAATTGCGACGGTCGATTCTACAATTTGATTTTTTTTTTTTTTTTTTTTGTGTTTTAGTTAGATCTGCAAATAAAGTACATAGGTTTTACGGAAATAGTGATATTTATATATATCAGAGAGAAAAATGACTACAGACCAATTTATGTATGAGAAACAACAATTTTACTTAAAAATATCGTCTATGGTTGTATAGTTGCTAATTGAGTGTTGGCTGTTGACTAAGTCAGCCCTCATTTTTAGACGAATAACTGAATAGGAACCTTAACCGGCCTGAACAATTTAAAACTAAAGGTAGATTCCAATATCTTAGTCATGTTTATACATATTGAAATTGACACAAACCAATTGTCTTAATGGTAAATAGACCGAGTCCACGGAATATATTAATTAGAATTTTTTATTTATTATTTTTAACAATTCATATTATTAAAAGGAAAGGATTTCATCAATAAGTTGAAAATGATACCAATATAAATTAGAATTTTATTTATTATGTTTGTATGATAGTTGCTAACTGCACATAATATGTATATATTGTTGTAAACATAGGTGTAACAGACCCGTTCCTGACATTTTTTAGGCCCTGGGTGAACGTAAAAACAGGGTCCACTGCAAGAAATAAGGCAACGACTTTTGTCGTCGCAAAAAGTTCATTTATAATCAGAAAGAGTATATAACAACGACATGCTATAACTTGTAGCGGAAACATGTCATCTCTAAAAAGTGTATCGTCAGAGTTCACTTTTCTTGTAGTGACCCTCAGTGAGTACGAAAAAAAATTCAATAATTTTTTTTCATTAGTATAAAATTGAGTACAATAAGTGCTAATAATTTAGTGAGGAAAGAAATCTTAATAACAAGAAATATGTGTTATTTTGATACAAAAAGAGAATTCGTGTGAATGAAGTAATCATGAGGGTCAATGTGACATCAATAATAAATAAGATTATCAAGGTCTTTTATACAAGTAAACAAATAAGGATCAATAAAAATATGAAAGAAAAGATGATCCATTGAGATCCAATAAGAATAAATAATGAATTAAACATATAATATGCAAGCTTAACAAATGATTATTTGAGCACTTAAATAGAATCTTGTGGTGTGATGGAATCCCAATGAAAGATACATAAGTCAAACAATTGATGAAAATATCTAAATTCTATTTTCCTTCTTTCTTTGTTCAACTAAAATAAGATGTTAAGATTAAAAGTTTATGGAACATTACATATATAAGAGACATTTCTAAATACATCTAGTAGAAAAAAATTTATTCATTAATCACAAAACCATGAAACACGTCATAAATTATAAGAACAATAGATTGATTGTCAAACAATAGTAAAATATTTTATGTAGAAGCAAAAATAGATAACAATAGTCAACAAAAACAATTAGAACAAGATAACCAAATAGCAATAGTCAATAGAAACAGAAATTGATAAAAATATCGAACAAAAATATATAGCAATAACAAACACATGATCTTAAACTTGAATTGTTGAAGCACAAAAACAGTCAAGCATATAGAGATAGCAATAGCAAATATCACTAGACCTTATTGGAAATAAAAAAAATTAGAGAGTCAATAAACAATAGCATATAATAAATGACCAATTAATTTTTTTATTTTCTTTTCGAATGTAATTAGTTGATATATTTTTGTGCCCTTATTATCTACTAAATTCTTTTTGCTCCTTATTATATGCTACAATTTTTTGTTTTTTTTTAATTTATTAAATTCTTTTAGACTACTATTGTATTTTAAGGGGAAAATTTGGGCCTTGGGCGTGCGCCCGTGTCGCCCTCCCCAGGGACCGGCCCTCAGTATACATGATATATCATTGATACATGTATATATGCATGTGTATATGTGAATGTATAGATAATGTGTGTATTGTTTGATAACAACATATGATGTATATATGTATATATGCATGTGTATATGTATGTTGTATGTACATGTATAATATACAACCAGGGTTGGGTTTTAGTGAGAAAAAAAGTTATGCTGAGAATCGTAAAAAGAGATCTTCATCTTTGAATCAATCTTAATTGAATGACAATGCTAATGAGTTGTATGGTGTATCGAGATGCACCTGATCGGTTCTCTTCTAAAGCGAAATCCAAGGTGGGCATGAGATTAAAAGTGATCATTAGTTTAGATATCTTCTTACGCTTCTTACCTTACTCTTTTTTTTCCACATAATCCTTCGCCTATATATGATCATAGGGTTGGTTCCGGAGAGATAGAAGGTTAAGATGAAAAGCATAAGAAGAAATCTACACCATTGGATGCACATTAGGATGAAATGCACTATATCAATTCATGTATCAATCGCGATAAATAGGTGGGCTTGAAATTAAAGGTGATCAAGGGTCCACAACTTTCTTACGCTTCTTACATTAACTTTTCTTCTTACACGATCCTTCACCATGATTATATATATAGGGGATTAATCATTCGAGGACGCCTAAAATTTTGATAACCTTGAGAGCTCATGCATCATGTGTTATTTTATATGATTTTTTCTAACTAGGCATAGTATTTAATGTATTGATTAATATATATTTGTTTCACACTGTGTTTGTTTTATACGTATTTATTTCACAATGTGAAATTTTTTACGTGTATTATATCTTTCATAAGCACGCCAAAATGTTCACATATTGAACTGAGTACATGTGAAACAAATATATGTTAATCAATATTCTAAATCTTAGTTTTAGATGGAAAAAAATCATATGAAATGACACATGATACACAAGTTCTCAAGGTTATCACAAATTCTTGAGTTCTCAAAAGAATACCCCTATATATATATATGTGTGTGTGTGTGTGTGTGTGTGCGTGCGCGCGTACGTATGTGCATGTCGTGTGTGTGTGTGTGTGTGTGTATATATATATATATATATATATGTGTGTGTGTGTGTTTGTATATCTATATTTATATACAAATGAATGTACATATATTGTCATTAAACTCCGAAAACTCGGATTTGGTCTATTATGTTTGTCAGTTTATAATAGTTTTGGTCCATCCTCCTAACAGCCGTTAACTTTTTCTGCTAAGTCCAACTAAAGCAGAGGTACTAAAGTCAATTTAAACTCTTTTTTTGTTAAATCCAATACCACACCGTTAAATGAAGGATATTTTAGTCATTAAGAAAAATATTTAATGTTAGTATTTCTATCAATCTAGTATTATAGTAATTGAGCTTTTAATAAATTAATTTATTCGTTATTAATTATATTTGTGTTCCCCTTCGGACTAAACTATATAAAGTGTGTGAACACCAGTGCAACTTGTTTCCAAAAGTGGTTGGTAGTTGGTAGGGGTATTTATGGGTTAGATTGATCGGGTTGAAGACATTTAAACAACCCAACTTAATGTTTGCGGTTTGAAAAATCTTAACCCAATCCAACCCAAACTAAAGTGCAACCCAACCCGTACGAGTTGGTCGGGTTGGTCGAGTTGATATTTGGGTACATTCAAATATTCTTCTAACCTTGAATATGTTATTTCTCTACTCATAATTTCTTTTTCATCATCAATCATTTGATACAACTTATCCATATTTCTTACGTATATCACATTCAGTTAATTTTCTCAATTTACATATATATGTTCACAGTTAGTGAACATATATACAAATGGGTTATATAGAGATGTGAATAGATTGAAAATATGTGTATATGAAAAACATATATGATAGTGTAATTGTCTAATGTATATATTAATAGAAATTCAACAATCATCTTAAATCCAAGAAATAAAAGGATATCGGGTTCATTGGGTTAGGTTGGGTTCAAATAATAGTAACTCAATATCAACTCAATAGCTATGGTTCGACAATTTTACAACTCGATTAGACATTGGGTTGCTTCGGATTGGGTTATTTCACGTTGATACAATCAGCCAACTTGAAACAAAATACAACTTCATCAACTGCTTCTTCTTCCATATATGTGTGACAATTGCATTCGATGCAATGACATGCATATATTGTAATGGTATGAGATAAAGTGAAAGAGAGTTCAAAGTGAAAAAAGTTGATTCTCCATCATCAATTTTTTCGTTTTACATATCTCAAAATTCTTTTGGACGTTTGTACATGGTACACGAATACGACACGAAAATACATGAGAAAACTCATTGTCCTACGTATGCTGCAATATGGGACAGGAACGAGTGAGATTGAATGGGGCTAAAAGAATTAACAATCTATCCTCATTTAATATAATCCTAATATGGTATTTGGTTTAATAGCCATCACCGCCCTTCACTTCCACCACTACCACGATAAGTAGGGGTGTTCAAAAAACCATTAGACTGCTCAAACCGGCCGAACCAAGTTAAATCAGACCGTTTTTTGGCGGTTTAAGAGGTCTAGCGGTTTCGAAAATAGCAAAATCGGACGGTCTGGTCTGCGGTTTGGAACTTTTTTTGGGCGGTTTGTACCAAACCGACCGCCAAATACATATAAT